AAAACCCGGGCGTTGCCCGGGTCATTCGGCTAGTAAACAATAAAAAATAACCAGAGTTTAGAAATGACAAAGAGAGAGTACAGTACCTGGGAAGAACTGGGGCTGGTCAAGTGAAGGCTGAGGGCCAGAGATGGTGCTGACCACAGAATGACAGCCACCTGGACAGTGGGGGGGTCTTAGAACTGCATCTTCATGTGTGAACCTAAGCCTTAAGGCACACAATGGATTTACCAAGTAACTCAAATTTGTAACATGTTAACATTGTTATTTATTTTATCCCCTGTTATTCCTTAAAAGAATGGGAAAATACAGAACAACAAACTCGCTACATAAATATCTATGACAGATAAACACAAGGTAATAAGACCAAATAAATAAATAGGGTGTGACGTTTTGGTAACAGTGTTGTTACCATCTTCAAACAAAAGTACAAAATGAGAAATTACGGAAATATCTTTATTTACGGGGCTGCTAACCAAAAAATATTATTTTTGAGCCCCAATGGCCGCATAAAGCGGAATATATACAAAGCACTATGACCAGGCTGGGGAGGCTAGGGACAGGATCTCCGTCAAGAATAAGAAATTATACCACAGCATGTTTTAAATAGTTGCTCTTATCAAGTGTTTAAACAAGAGAGCAGATAAGCCTAATATAAATAGCATAATAATCCAAATTGTGCCTTATCATCTATGACACATATCAAACAGAACACAATTTATGCCATATACATTGTGTGAATGAAGAAAAATTATAGCAACAATTTTCTAAAGTTCTATTGGAGTGAGAAGCCGTATAAAGGGAGGTCTTGGCTGCGGGTGATCCAATCCCTAGACTATATACTGAAGTTTTGGGTCGTGTTCAGTCTTCATAGTAGTCAATTGGTTGTTGCCAACATTTAGATAAATTAAGGACATGTATAGATTTTTTGGTCTGTAAAATATTTGGTGCTTGATGAGAATTTATTTTTTGATAGAGGAATATAATTTTTTAAGAATTTACAATTTATCTTTATAAAAGAAAAGTAAACACTTATATAAAAATAAAAGAAAAATTATATTGAGTGCCCCTCATCAATCTTAGAGACTCGGGTTGATGACAAAGCCACAACACCAGCCTTGGCCAGAACACCCATCTGTTAGTTTCGCACTGTGGTCCACATTAGTCCAAGGCAGGTTTGAATTTGGCAGTGGCTATGTGGCTAGGCCATTACTATGGCCAAATATAGGTGAAAATTATGTTGTTTTGTCATTTTGATAGATGAGTTTGCTCTTCTTTCTTAATATCAATTTCCTTCCTATGGCAAATACATATCAGTGTTGTTCCATCAAAATTCTGTGTCCATAGAAATTTATCTTAACCCAAGTAAATACTTTATAAATGATGCAAATTACTTGTTGTGGACTGGAGGTTAAACTAGAAAGACTTCCAACAGTACTTTCATTGCAGTAAGGACGAGAGAGAGAAACAATGTTATTTGAAAAATATACACAGAAGTCCCTGTAGAGAGAGGTGTCCTTTTACCGGAGAGTTGCTTAATTGTAAAAATGGTAATTGTACAAATGAAAACTGCCCTTTGTAGAGAGGTGTCCTTCTACCGGAGAGTTGCTAAATTGTAAAAATGGTAATTTTGCAAATGAAAACTGCCCTTTGTAGAGAGGTGTCCACTAAAGGGAGGTTCTACTGTATTATATAAATTTGTATCAGATTATTTTATGTTTTCAAAAATTTTTTACTGTATGCATGAATAATCTGGTCTCATTTAAGAGAGAAATATTTTAAACCCTTTTCATATAAACACCAATTTCCTAATAACCCCTATCACTTCAGATAATTGTGGGTTTCATTGTACAGTACTATTAGGTGATATACTACAATGAGTTCTTTTCTAAAAGAAATGATAAAGCACAATTTGGATTATAGATTATAATAAAAGAAAATAAGACCTAATCCAAATAATTTATTAGTGTGTGACGTTTCGGCAACAGCATTGTCACCATCATCAGACAAAATAATTTTTCATTTATTCCTTTGTCTAATGATGGTGACAATGCTGTTACCAAAATGTCACACACTAATAAATTATTTGGATTAGGTCTTATTTTTTTATAAAAGAAAGGTAATGTGAAAGGTTTTGCTATCCCTTTAAATTATATAATAGCAAATATTGACTATATAGAAATATTAAGTGTTACCGGATTCTTGGTTTTCTCACTTGCTGTGGCATTGGACGTACATTGTGCAAACCTACGATCACGATTACAATTCTATGATAGAAAAACCACAAAGATTATTTTATAAATTCATCAAAACTTAAAAAACTGCCATGCAAGCAAACTTTTATCTTAATTCAGGCAAAGTCAACACAATTGGGGGTCCATCTAGCCAATAAATATTTCTCCCTGTGGTGTTCCAGCTACCACCCACCCAGGATCTTCACCCCGTCCAGCAGAAGACACTGGGACTCCGGGATCCAGGAGTAGCTGCGGCAGGGCCACTCAAGGCAAGGCTTCGACTCCCATTGGCTGCCGGGATGGGGACCAATCCGGGTCCGGTACTTCTGCCCCACTGCCATCACAGATATTGTGCCGGATACCTCATTTATACAGGTTGAAACAATGTTATGGTGCAAACAAGAAATGTCTGCGGTGATTGTGCTGTCGGACAGAAAATTCCTAAGTATTGAGGACTATTTTTGTTGAACACACAGATAATCACTGAATAGGGATTAAAGTCATCAAATGAGGACACAGCACTACACATGTAAAGAAGCAGGCCAACCTCAGGTCTCAGACCTCCAAACGTATCCAATCCCTCAGCACCTAATTGGATAGTCAAGTCCGATGGAATATTTTGATGAGGGAAATTTTTGATGATTTCTGTTACAATTTGACTATACACATATATTATCGTTTTATTTAATTTATTTCAATTAGTTATATTTGAAAATAATCAAATTTCTTCAAAAAAAAGAATAGTGTGCGTGATCTATGTATTGTCAATACCCTAGAAAGTAAGGTAGTAGATATACATCTATTTAGATAACCATACGTACAGATTTGATTGGTGCAATCGGTGCGGTAGCAGGGGCTCCATTCAGACCAGGGCGGGAGCTGGGGTTCCATGGGGCAGGGGATATGGCACTCTTCTATGGTCTGGACAACACAGCCTGCCTGTATAACTGGAAAATTTGTAGAGAGTAAGCGTCCCCTTGATTTACAAATTTGGACGCCCAAATGGTTAGACCTTGATGCAGGAACATCTAGTCGCTTTGTCATTCTTTAGAAATAAAATGCTTCTCTCATCAAAGTTGACATTTATCTTGCTGACTTGGATCAGTAAAAATGTCATGTTACCTGCTTTGACATTTTCAGACATCCAACCTGAGGAACATGGTTTGTAGGTATTGCCCCGGTCAGTCCAGGGAGGTTTCAATTTAATTAGGTTCTGTAATGTTTAATGTTTATAAATAAGGGATAGTCACAATACTTTTATATTTTAATATTTAAATTGATTACAACAAGGTTAACCATAATATATAAACAAAACAATATTGATTTGTTTGAACAATAGTATTTTTAATTTCGACAAACGTTACTATAGGCAATCTAAAGGTACTCCTATGGGCAGCCCTCTTTCTTCACACTATCAAAAATAGTCATGCGGAAAATAGACAATTCAATAACAAATCATTTTCCAGAATATATCCTAACTTGGTTTAGGTATATAGATGACATATTTTGTATAGTTAAAACTGATTCCTTAGACAAAATTCATGCCAAATTAAATTCACTTTACCCTGACATACTTTTCACAGTAGAAAAAGAAAGCAATAGTTCACTAGCCTTTTTAGACATTCTGATTACGAGACAGAATTGCAGATACATGACCAATGTTTACTATAAGCCCTCTTTCTATCCCTCCTATATACACTACACATCATACTGCCCCCTTAGCCATAAGATTAACACCGTAAAAACCTTGTCGAAACGCATTTTCACACACTGTTCTTCGCAAGAATTCAAACAAATAGAAACCCAAAACGTAATCGATCACCTGATGAACTCTGGATACCCAAAAAATTTCATACTCAGACACTTTTATAATCCCCAACAGCACCTTAATAGCCAAGTTTATAGATCCATATGCACCATCCCATTCTCTACTCATAGTGTCAACATTTCTAGATTCCTAAAAAATAACTATGGTATTCGTACCTTTTACACCAACACCCCCAAATTAGAAACAATAATCAGAAATCCCATAACCAGGAATAGCTTTCCCGTTACCCTACCTTTTTTCACAAACTCCGTATATTCATTGAAATGCTCAAACTGTAATAGCATATACATAGGAGAAACAGGCAGACGAATCAAGGACAGGATGGACGAACATCACAGAAACATTAGAAATAATGAACCCAAGTCCCTTATCGTACAACATATTAGACAAACAGGACATTCTTTTAACACATCCCACCCACATGCATATTACTCTAATATCAACAGCAAATTCAAAAGATTAGTCGTCGAGGCGTTGCTCTCTTTGAAACACAATAGTATTAACCGACACATAGAGATCCCTGACGCATATAAAGCAATATTTCCATAAATTGTGTACCATAGTTGCCCTTTGCCAGTTTATTTTACTTCGGAAAGTTTCAACTTAGCTGATTTAATCAATGTATCATAGTCTGGGTCGCGTGGATGTGAGATTCACTCGCGCAATACAAGACCAAATAGAGATACCATTTATTTGTTTACAAACGTTACTATTTGAAATTGTTTTTCTAATGTTCCTGTAGAAGGGCTGTTTTCGCCCGAAAGCTCGAATCTTTATTAAAGATTAAAAGAAAAGTATCCTCGTACGCTTCAAATCTTTTACTTAAAACAAACTTATGCAAAATTAAAATAAAAAAAAAAAGTACAGTGTTGCTGACTACCTAACTATGAAGAAAAAAATCAAAGAATTATTAAATATTTTACATAACGGAAAAATTATCCAGGGTAGCCTAGTGGACATGGCATCTGCCCAGTAAGCGGAACAATGTGGGTTCGATTCCCATCCCTGGACACTTTTATTTTTCCGTTTATCATTACTCTTCACAATTCATCCTTTCATACCTCATCTCTAAGGTTAAAAATAACCTTATTTCTCTTTAAAAATAAATTACGATTTTTCATTTAAAAGAAACACATGTGGGATAATTTTCAATTGTCGTTTTAAAATACAAAGCATGTTACAGGTTCCAACAATATTCTCTAATCAAATTTTCCCAAATGTCAAAGAGGTGTTTTGGTAGGAGTGACTGTACCATCTTGTGAATAAAAGTGATTCAGGAAATAGTAAACTTGCTTTCACAGCTCAATATAATTGGTTGCACTAAACACAAGGTAATAAGACCAAATCCAAATAAATAAATAGTGTGTGACGTTTCGGTATAACAGGAACTATTTAAAAGCATGCTGTGGTAAAATTCTCTCATTCAGTACTTTTGTCTGAAGTTGGTAACAACGCTGTTACCGAAACGTCACACACTATTTATTTATTTGGATTTGGTCTTATTACCTTGTGTTTATAATCTACAATCCAAATTGTGCCTCATCAATGGTTGCACTAAATAATGTTTATTTTTTTACAACTGTAATAAAAAATGTTTGTTTATACAATTTGGCATTAATGTACATTTTGGTATAATTCACCATAACTACCTCTGCAGACTTTCTTGAAATGTGAGAAAAATGAGAAGTCTTGGCTCATCAGTGGTGAATCCTCTCAGCGGTTTCGCCTCCAGACTGCTCTAATATTGTATTGGATTGTCTTTCTTATGTGGAATGTATTTTACAATAAGGGCATATTGAGGTAAACATTTCTAACATCTCTGTAAGGTATCTAGAAATTGTGTCAAAAATGTATTCGATAATTGGTATTTCAAAATTTTATTTGAGTAAGTAAAAAGTACTCTGTAGGAATTGCTAATACAGTAGAACCTCCCTGTAAAGGACACCTACTTACAGAGCCAAAGTGTCCTTTAGGGAGAGGTGTCCTCTTACCGGAGAGTTGCTAAATAGTGAAAATGGAAATTTTGCAAATGAAAACTGTCCTTTATAGAGAGGTGTCCTCTAGCTAGAGTGTCTTCTCATGGAGGTTCTACTGTATTATAATAATGGATAAAGCACAATTTGGATTATAGATTATAATCAAAGAAAATAAGACCTAATCCAAATAATTTATTTGTGTGTGACGTTTAGGCAACAGCATTGTCATCATCATCAGACAAAAGAATAAATGATGATGGTGCCAATGCTGTTGCTGAATCGTCACGCACTAATAAATTATTTGGATTAGGTCTTATTTTCTTTGATTATTGTATTATAATAAAAGGTTCTTTTTTACTCATATAACATTTCTCCCACCTGTACATTCAGTAAGATAGCAATCCATGCTGGGTCGAGGTCTCGATAAGATGGCAGGTCGGTGATGTTGCTGGTGCAATTGGACAGAGGGGCAGCAGTTCTCTCCGGGTCCCTGTAGCAGGAGACCTCCCGCCTCCTGATGCCTGCCCCACATTGGGCCCCTTCCTGCCACACAACAGAGGTCAACTGGTCAGAAGTTGATAAAATAATCCCTTGTATCAATATTAATGTGGAAATATCAAGACTCCAGGGACAAGCCTCTTTTCAAATATTCTATTCACAAATCTCTCCAGCCCCCGGGTACGGAAGACACAGGAGAAATTGTGTTTTTCTCCTGTGGAGGGGCTTCCGTGCCCAGAAGCTAGAGAGATAAATAGAACATTTGAAATTTTTGTAATTTAATAAATTTATAAGATGTCTGAATTTTCTGCACATAGTTACGTTTGAGATGTTCGAAAATGCCTCTCCAAGACATTCATTTAGACCTATCTTTATATTTGACATGTTTTATATATAAAGTCATGATAGACCATTGCTTGGAATTTGAAATCGACATATGCATGCCAAAGTAAAGAGATTTCAATGTGCAGATGTGGCGTCCACTGGCGGGCGAAATTTGCTTGGGTTTGCTAAAGTTAGAACTTGACTGTACAATGGTAGTTTCCCACAATATTCCAGCCAATTGCTAACATTTCAAAACTTCCATATTTATCTAGATATAATATTACATGTGAAAAAATAGTACAAATGTGATATTGTACTGGGATAAGGTGCATAAATTATGAAAAAGGCATCTCCTTAGTTGTTGTTATTAATTCCTGAATAACCAGCTTTTTGGTCATTGAGGTACAGCTTGCACCACGCTGATGAGGACCAACAGCCCGAAAGCGTCGGTGGTTAGCTTTTCTTGATTAATCAAGAATGGGTATTTGGCCAATTCTGGAATAATTAAAAATCAACGAGAATAGTTGATATTTATTCCGATAGATGGTGCAAGCCATCAGCAACTTTCAGTTGCACGATAAGGAGATGCCTTTTTCATAATAATATTACATATAAATTTTATTTAAACATTTTTGAGAAAATACTGTGTTCCATAAGTAGGTTCTCTGAGCCCACAATACCATTTCTGAAACCTAGCTGACAAGCAATATAGCTGTGATATATGTGAGTATTCTGTTTATATAATGTCATAGTACTTGGTTTTCTCTACATGATACGCTATCTGAGAAAATGTGGGTGAAATTAAAAAAATAATAATAATAATTCAAACTATTTTTCAATTAAAAATAGAATCTGGCAAGCATCTGAAACCTTTAATATTTCAGTAGAATCTCCAATGAGAGATAGGCTAAAAACATGGCTAAAATTTCTCATTTAGGCGTTTTTTATAAGAGACTTGAGTCAAATCATGATTAGTTTTTCAACCAAACAGTCTCTGAAGAGAAGCCACCTCCTGAGTTCCTGAGTTTAGCCATGGCTTTAAGTTACGGTCTCTGGTGTAAGACCACTGTAACCCAGTTTACCTGTACAGTGACAACATGAAATCAGAGGAGTTGAGTGACCCACCAGGGGCTGACAAGGGGACCAGAGTCCACGAGAGAGATGGTAGCAGGTTGGACAGGGGACAGTCTGGAGTAAGTCAGGGGGGCAGGGTCGGCCTGTGGGGGATGGTGGCTGGATGATATATCTCCTCCTGCTTATCTGTCCTGCTCCCACACCACACAATTGTTCAACACTTCGTTGGAGAGTGGTAGGTCTTGTCAATGGTCAACCTTTCCATGGTTAGCAAAGGAAAGTTTTCATCCCTGTAGATCCATTTCAATTTTTTTTTCTTTTGTCATCGCAAACACAAGATAATAAGACCAAATCCAAATAAATAAATAGTGTGTTATCGCACTATTTATTTATTTGGTCTTATTACCTTGTGTTTATAATCTATAATCCAAATTGTGCCTGATCATTTTGTCACTGTAACAAAGTCTGTTAAATAAGTATGTTTTCAGAGTTAATAAAAGAAGAACAATAAATATTGGTGAAAAATCAACGTTCAGTTTATTCTTCTAAATAACATAACAATGACAAAGCTGAGATACAATGTTGATACCTTTTGGTTAACTATAGAAAATATGGACGCGTAATATTCTTTTAAAAATTAAACAATTTCTACTGCCCTTACTGCAATGGAAAAATAATGGGAGGGCCTGGCTCATCAGTGGTGAACCCTCCCAGCAGTTTCGCCATTTTAATCTACCATACCGCTGTTATATTGCATTTTTCGATTTTTCTTTTATAGTGATACTTATGCCAGACTTTTGGAATAGGTATTTTAGATGAACTATGGACATCAAGTTTTGAAGACAGTATAATTAAAAAAAAAAAAAAAATTCCATTGCAGTAAGGACAGTAGAAATTGTTTATTTTTAAAAGAATCATACACGTCTAAAATAGTTTCGAATTTTCATAACAGATGGCTAATGCATCATAATACAATTGTTCTAATGAAAGACTCAATTTGATGTTTGCGGAAGTGATTGATTGAAACATATTATATATTATATATATGTATGTTATATTAAAATAATTTATTTAAAATGTTAAATTAAAATATTTTATTTATAATTATGTTAAAGTGTTATTTTATTTAAAATTATAATGTCATAGATATAAATACTCTGTTTAAATCGACCGCCAGAGGTCATGCTTCCCATATAAAATCTCATTGTTGTTCTTCCCCGGCTGGTCGGCTCAAACCATATGTAATTATGTAAATATTCTTTTGTTTTTCACATTTTTTTATTCTTACGCCTTAAGCCAGGCATTACTTTTATCCAATTATGTTATTCATATATATTACTCAGCTCAAATAAAGAAATCTATGATCTTCAATATTATTTTTATTTCAAGATTTTAGCCACGATTGCACCACCATAGCATAATCATCAATATGATCAAATACAGCAGAAAAGCAATCTTATCTTTTTTTTAATAATATAATATGTATGTAATTCTACTGTCCTCAAAGCTTATGTCCAAAATGAATATAATTCAATAAAATGCATTGAAACAAGGCAGTTCTCTCAAAGCACTTGAATCGGTGAATATGCCGCAACTTTGGCAAATTCAACAAATGTGTGGTTTCAGACTATGGCTCTAAGCACTAGAGATTTGCGCCTTCCATTTCATAATGGTAGAAGATATTAAGACAACTCCACCCCTATTTTATATCATACTAGACGAATGACCCGGGCAACGCCCGGGTTTTACCCGATTAAATGTTTTTATTCAAATACTATTCGTTAAAATTATAAATTGGCACCGTGGACGTCACTTTTGTGAAACATCCCGCTCCAAACTTTACAGTTAGATTAGTTACGATATACACATGTGTAAATCTTCAAATCGAGCGAGCGTCTATAAATATCTCGATTTAGATCAAGTATTCTAATTATTAAGCGAACTATTATTAATAAAATTTTGAGAAGATATCGATTTTAAACGTATTTATAAATTTGATAGAGGGCGCTGTTCGTGAGCTAAGTAGAATAATTTGAATATATAGTTTTAATATTTAATTTATATATAATTTAAAATAGCCTATCGTTTTCCTCGTATTTGTTTACCTATATATGGAAATTTTGGTACTGTAAAAAAAAA